TGGGTTTGTTCTGAGACATGTTACAATGACTTACTAATAACAGTTAATGTAACTAAAATGTTATTTTGAACAAGAATAATATATGGTATTTACACAGACTAAATTTGAAACACATTATTGTAGTTTAAGGACACATTACTGGGAGTATTAATGCTGATGAGCTCTGTTATACACTCAGACACACCAACAATATGGAGCTCCTAGAAAATAGGATAGAAAAGAGGGACAGAGGAAGTTTGGCCAAAAAAGGACTTTCCCTCCTAAATAGGGGCAGTTGGGAGGTATGTTTTTTCACAGAAATGGCAGTGTTTACAATTACTAGACTCCAGGGACAGTCTGTTTGTACCAAAACCAATACATTAACCCCTTAACGCCGTTACGACATTCTATGCCATACCCATTTAAATGGGCTTTAAAGCCATTGCGGCGGCATAGAACGCTGTAACGGTTTGCTGCCCTGGAGCCCCGAGAATACTTACATTCCCAGCGATCTGCTTCAGGAGGACTGCCTGATAGCCCAGGCAGCCCTCCCACGGCAAATCAAGCCCCCCAGCTGTGGATCTGCCACAGGGCTGGACTGGGGATACAAAGCAGCCCTGAAAAAAAATTCTATGCCAGCCCCATAAGTCATTGCGCCATATATTGTCGCATGTAATATGTAAGGCTATGTCTTGCCACCCCAGATGATTGAGTTAAATATATATATATATATATATATATATATATATATATATACACATACACACACATATTGCTTTTTATAATATAAAATATTGGTCCTTTCAGAGTAAAACGTTTTATTATACAGTAAGCATACTCACATGCAGACACAGACAATCTCACTGACACACACAAACTCATTGATACACAGCCTCATAGACAAACAATCTCACTGATATACCTAAGCTCATTGACATAAAAGCACAAGCTCACTCACTAGCAGGCACACACACACACATGCAAGCAAGCCCATTCACTAGCATGCGCACACACACACAGCTTAATGTAGTGGTTTTGGTGTCAATAGCCTGTCCCTGCAGCCTTTTCAATGTAAACACTGACTTTTCAGAGAAAAGGCAGTGTTTACATTGCTTCCTAGTGACAGACACTCAGACGGTCACAAGAAGTGCTTCCTGTGTCAGTGCGGATTGGCTGAGATCATCAAGCTTGAGTAAGGTGAGTAAAAACACTTTTTTTTAAAATACACACAGACACACACACACACACCTTGACAGACACACACACCATGACACAGACACACACATACACTTACACTGACACACATAATTGCTACCTGTGTGCAGACAGCTGTCTGTGCTGGCGGCCGCAAGGGGAGCTCTGATGGCGGCCGCAGGGGGAGCTGGCTCTTCTGGCGGCCGCAGGGGGAGCTGGCTGTGCTGTCTCTGCTCCCCAGCGTGCAGCTTAATGAGACCGGGGCCGTAATATGACGTCATCTTCCGGCCCCGGTCTTATTAAGTAGCGCGCAAGGGTGGGGGAGCAGAGCCAGAACAGCCAGCTCCCCCTGCGGCCGCCAGAAGAGCCAGCTCCCACTTGGCCGCAGGTCAGCCAGCTGTCTCCCGGGCCCCAGGTGCCAACGGCCCACCGGTAAATTTCCCGGTATCCCCGTGGGCCAGTCCAGCCCTGATCTGCCAGCAAGGAGACTGTCTGGGCTGTCAGACAGTCCCCCTGCTGGTGGGAGGTGTAAAAAAAATAATTATTAAACATGTTTAAAATAAATTATATATATATATATATATATATATATATATACATCTTATCTATATGTAACGTCAAACGTAGTGTATTTTAATATTAATATAAGTACATATATTAGTATTAAAATACACTTAGAATGAAGTTACAAATACATAAGATATATATATAAATATATATATATATATATATATATATATACACGTATAATTAAAATAAATACAATTTTTTTTAAATTTAAATAAATTACAGGGAGTGCAGAATTATTAGGCAAATGAGTATTTTAACCACATCATCCTCTTTATGCATGTTGTCTTACTCCAAGCTGTATAGGCTCGAAAGCCTACTACCAATTAAGCATATTAGGTGATGTGCATCTCTGTAATGAGAAGGGGTGTGGTCTAATGACATCAACACTTCCTTTCCTTTGGCAAAATGGGTCAAAAGAAGGACTTGACAGGCTCAGAAAAGTCAAAAATAGTGAGATATCTTGCAGAGGGATGCAGCACTCTTAAAATTGCAAAGCTTCTGAAGCGTGATCATCGAACAATCAAGCGTTTCATTCAAAATAGTCAACAGGGTCGCAAGAAGCGTGTGGAAAAACCAAGGCGCAAAATAACTGCCCATGAACTGAGAAAAGTCAAGCGTGCAGCTGCCACGATGCCACTTGCCACCAGTTTGGCCATATTTCAGAGCTGCAACATCACTGGAGTGCCCAAAAGCACAAGGTGTGCAATACTCAGAGACATGGCCAAGGTAAGAAAGGCTGAAAGACGACCACCACTGAACAAGACACACAAGCTGAAGCGTCAAGACTGGGCCAAGAAATATCTCAAGACTGATTTTTCTAAGGTTTTATGGACTGATGAAATGAGAGTGAGTCTTGATGGACCAGATGGATGGGCCCGTGGCTGGATTGGTAAAGGGCAGAGAGCTCCAGTCCGACTCAGACGCCAGCAAGGTGGAGGTGGAGTACTGGTTTGGGCTGGTATCATCAAGATGAGCTTGTGGGGCCTTTTCGGGTTGAGGATGGAGTCAAGCTCAACTCCCAGTCCTACTGCCAGTTCCTGGAAGACACCTTCTTCAAGCAGTGGTACAGGAAGAAGTCTGCATCCTTCAAGAAAAACATGATTTTCATGCGGGACAATGCTCCATCACACGCGTCCAAGTACTCCACAGCGTGGCTGGCAAGAAAGGGTATAAAAGAAGAAAATCTAATGACATGGCCTCCTTGTTCACCTGATCTGAACCCCATTGAGAACCTGTGGTCCATCATCAAATGTGAGATTTACAAGGAGGGAAAACAGTACACCTCTCTGAACAGTGTCTGGGAGGCTGTGGTTGCTGCTGCACGCAATGTTGATGGTGAACAGATCAAAACACTGACAGAATCCATGGATGGCAGGCTTTTGAGTGTCCTTGCAAAGAAAGGTGGCTATATTGGTCACTGATTTGTTTTTGTTTTGTTTTGAATGTCAGAAATGTATATTTGTGAATGTTGAGATGTTATATTGGTTTCACTGGTAATAATAAATAATTGAAATGGGTATATATTTGTTTTTGTTAAGTTGCCTAATAATTATGCACAGTAATAGTCACCTGCACACACAGATATCCCCCTAACATAGCTAAAACTAAAAACAAACTAAAAACTACTTCCAAAAATATTCAGCTTTGATATTAATGAGTTTTGGGTTCATTGAGAACATGGTTGTTGTTCAATAATAAAATTAATCCTCAAAAATACAACTTGCCTAATAATTCTGCACTCCCTGTATATATACTCATGTAATTTCATTCTAACTGTATTTTGTTATTAATATATATATATATACATATATATATATATATATATTGGTAACAAAATACACTTAGAATGCCATTCTATATATATTTATCTATATATAAAATACAAATAACCGCAAATATATATAGATAAATATATATAATTACATTAATGATTACATACGTATACACATAGAATTTAAATACATATATATATATATATATATATATATATATATATATATATATATATTAAAATTCTATGTGTATATTTAAGTAATCTTTTAGTATAATTATGCGATTTTATTAATTACAATTTGCGGGACCAGCCTGACAACCCAGGCAGAAAGTGCAGAGAAGTTAATTTTATGGCAAGACAGGAGGCTTCATATTTGCTTTAACCTTCTTTACTGAACCTCCCAGCAGCAAAGAAACAGTTAAACATAAGTGAAAAAAATCAACCAATCAGGACACATATTAGAACATAACAGTCTTTCAGGCTCCTCCCAAATCCTCTTTCTTTGCTGCTGCCTCCCAGGTGAGTCTATTCCAATTATAGCTCTCTATGTGTATATTTTGATTATAGTATACATACATTATTTAACATCTGTTCATTTAATATTTTGGCTCCTTTAATTGATTTATCCCTCTACTTATCTACATGAGGTCATTTTTTGTGCTGTTTAGCCCTTTATTCTGCCTGTTTTTCTCTTGTCAGCCTACTGCCTAGTCTTTCCCTGTGTTTGCCCTTTTTCTCTTTAATCCCTGTTAATTTTTTGGGGGGGGCTTTTGTGCCTCACTGATCGTTGCTCCGTGCTTGGGTCTGTCGGGCCGCGCCACTGCTGTGGCCGCGGACCATTTTTTACTCACACCCGCAATCTTCTCTGTGCCGCCCTTTTTTACCCGCGTCATTGTTAGGCGCGCAGTTTCCCGCCTCCCTTCTTCTTGCCGGCGGCCATCTTCCGTTCGATCTGTTCCGTTTTTTCGCGCGCTTTTTGCTTCAGCTCCGATCGGCTGTTTTGCAGCTCTGTCAAATGTAAGTATAGTGCCCTCTGGTGGCTCTTTATATTATTACAGTTTTTCGTTTTAGAACCTGTCACTTATTACTGTTTATTTTGTTTTTATTACAGCTGCCTTTTTTTCCTATTACAGCTCTGTGCCTATTAGAGGGTGACCCCCTCTTGCCTCTTTCGTGAGGGTGACCCCCTCTTACCTTATCTTTGAGCCTATTATATATATTAAATATAGGGTGAACCCCTTTAAAAAGTGATTGAATACTTTGTCTGGGTGAACCCCAGAAGAAAGCCCCTGCCATTTTACGTTACCTTGATTATTAACATATTATTACAATAAAAAATATATATATATAAAAAAAATAAATAAATAAAAAAAAAAATAATTAAAAAAAATAAATGATAAATAAGAATATATAGAGATAGTTAATATACCTGTTTGAATACTATTTTCTGTGGTGAACCCACTATTATTTTTTACTCGTCACCATGTCTGACCAACCAGAACCTGCAATGTCTGCAGAACTAAAAGCCTGGCTTCAAGCTGCAATTGCAGACTCTATCCCTAAGGCTCTAGCAGCGTTTCGTGACCAGACAGCCACTACTGCCACCATCTCACCATTATCTGACTCTGATGATTCCAGAGTCTCTGATCATGACGAAGCCCCACGTAAGCGCCCATGGAAGGGTGACAGTGCTTCTGCTGGTAAAGGCAAAGCCCCAGCGAAGACGGCTAAATTGTCTAAGACCAAACCCACTTTGACTATAGAAACTGACCCCTTAAAGGGCTAAACCTCTGACTATCACCTCCGAGTGATGGACGATTACGATGCTTATTCAGATGAGGATCTCCCACGTGATCCTTCCTCTTCTGAATTTGTTACGGAAACCTTCCTCCTACCCCAAGATCAGTCCTTTCAGGACATTGATCCCATGCCCAATACTAATTCAGATACTACTAAAGATGATATCCTACTGGATACCAAGGGGCGTCCACTTTTTGATCCACGCTGTATCAGACACCCTCGTTCAGCTGAGTGGACACCTCCTGATCACATTGCAAAGTATTGCAGATTATGGCTAAACCTTTAGAAAAGGAGATTAGGGCCAAATTAAGAGCAGAATGTCCACGGTCTATAATCCCTGATAAGGTGGCTGTCACCCCTGAACTTGACCCACTCCTGGTCACTTTTTTAACTAAGATGGGTAAGGATCCCCGCAAGGGAATCGAAGTTGTCTTAAAAGCCACCCAGGACAAGCTGATGGATATTGCGGGCCCGCTTATCCAGATTTTCATAATTGCTGATGAGTCACTAGCAGGAGGCAATTTTGACGCACACATGGTGCGTGAATGGGCACAAAGAGCGTTATGCCTGTTAGGCAACGCCAATGTGGCAATGTCCGTTGAACGGCGTAAAGCCGTATTATATAAAATTGATGCCAAATTGGCAGAACTAGGCACCAAGGAACTTGGTCCTGAGGCTAACGGTTTATTATTTGGGGACAGGTTCATACGAGACCTGAATAAACACGTATCCGTGTTTACTTCCCTTAACAAGGCACAATGGAACCTTCGCAGGGTGTTCAGACCCCAGCGTTTTTCCGGTAGAGCTGGTCGCTATAGAGGCCGAACGACTGGCAGAGCTGCCTTCACGGGCTACAGGCCTCAACCAGCTGACTCATGGAATTCGGGCAATACCCGTTTCTACCACAAGCAGTTCTTTCCCTCTAGACGTTCCATCAGAGGACGTGGATATGCTTCCCTCCGGGGCCGCACTGCTTCAGGTAATCGACTTTCCTTATTTTCAAGTTCCTATTGCAGGTCGGTTAACCCTTTTTTTCCCACAGTGGTCACTTTTAACTCAGGATCCATGGATCCTTCAAACTGTATCTGGTTTCCATATAGATTTTACAAACGACCCTATACAGGAGTCTCCCCCTCCACCTCTGCACATGTCTCAAGAGGACAATGCGACCTTAGAGGCCGCGCTGACCGATCTTGTCGCCAAGGGCGCTATAGAACTTTCTCGGTCTCCTCACAGATTCATAAGCAACATATTTCTGGTCCGAAAACAGTCAGGGGACTTTCGACCAGTTATCAACCTGAAAGACCTAAACAATTTTATTGTTTACCAACATTTCAAGATGGAGGGTATCCATCTCCTTCGAGACCTACTCTGCGAGGGAGACTGGTTCTCCCGTTTAGATTTGACAGATGCTTACCTCACGGTTCCTATAACACCGGCCCACCGCTGTTTCCTACAGTTCCGATGGCATCAAAACTTATGGCAGTTCACATGCCTTCCCTTCGGACTCTGTTCCGCACCTTGGTGTTTCACCAAGCTGATGAAACCGGTTATGGCTTTACTACGCTCTCAGGGGATTCGCTCCATCATATATCTGGACGATATCCTCCTTATGGCTCGAGACCCAGACACTCTGCGCCTCCATACAGATATAACCACAGCTCTGTTACAAAACCTGGGTTTCGTGATCAATGTCCAAAAATCCGTCCTCACCCCATCTCAAGTGGTTCAATTCCTGGGATTCCAAATAGATTCCATTTTGGCGATCCTACAGCTCCCTTCAGTAAAGGTCAAGAACATCAAAAAAGACATCAGGAAAATTCTAGCCTCTTCGGCTATCCGTCTTCGCGACTTAGCTCGCATAATCGGACTGCTCTCCGCCTCAATTCAGGCGATCTTCCCAGCTCCTTTACATTACCGAGCAATGCAACGTCTGAAGACTCGCTCCTTACGTCACTCTACGTCTTACGATCAACTGATCTCCTTGACAGACGAAGTCCGACTCGAATTGAACTGGTGGCTACACCATATGGATGCATGGAATGGGAAAGCGATCTTCGGATCACAGCCAGATTACATCCTAGAATCGGATGCCAGTTTTCTGGGCTGGGGTGCATCATGCGCAAATCTCTCTACCGGAGGTCCTTGGTCCCCATCAGAACGGGCATTGCACATCAATTGCCTCGAGTTGATTGCCGGGTCCTTTGCCATTTGCAGTTTCGCGAAGGACTCCTACAATTGTTCCCTAGTACTGAGAATGGACAACATCTCAGCTGTTCAATACGTGAATCGTTTAGGGGGATCCCGTTCCAAACTGCTCTCAGACCTCACAAAAGAACTGTATCAATTTTGCCTAGACAGGAACATCTCCCTTCGAGCGGAGTATCTGCCAGGTTCCGACAACTTAGTCGCAGATTGGTTCTCTCGACACTGGAGAGACTCCAGCGACTGGCAATTAGACCCACATGTTTTTTACCGTCTCCATCTTCTTCGGGGTCCTTTCAGCCTCGACCTGTTTGCTTCTCATCTGAATCGACAGACGGACGCTTTTTTCAGTTGGTTGCCGGATCCGACCTCTCTGGCAGTAGACGCCTTCCTTCAAGCTTGGCCAATGACCGGAGCTTATGCCTTCCCTCCGTTCTCCATGATCCTTCGCACTCTCCATCATCTCAGAACTCAGGGGGCCACAATAACACTGCTGACCCCTTTGTGGCGTACCCAACCATGGTTCCCCAATCTCTTAGAGATGTCGGTGAATTATCCACTACTACTACCTGTCACAAACGATCTTCTCAAAGATCCAGCAGGCAATTTTCACCCCCTGGCGTTGCAGGGTCATCTCCAGCTAGTGGCCTGGACTGTTTCAGGGGATCCTGGAATGCCACAGGACTTTCAGAGACTGCTAGAACACTCTTATGGGACTCATGGGCCCCCGGGACTAGACGCTCTTACCTCTCAGCCTGGCGAGTTTGGCATCGCTGGTGTTTGGAAAGGGGTTTTGATCCCGTTTCAACATCTTTGATTAATGTTATGAACTTTCTGTCCTCTCTTTTTGATCAGGGTAAATCCTACAGATCCATTAACGTGTTTCGTTCAGCAATCTCGGCGGCTCTTGGCCCCGTTGATAATACAGCAATAGGTAAACATCCCTCCATCTGTAGACTGTTGCGTGGCATTCGTCTTGCTCGACCTCCTGCCCCAAAATATTCCCATTTTTGGGATGTTGCTCTTGTTTTGTCCTTCCTAGAGACTTGGCCACCCAATGAAGCACTCCCTTTACGACAACTGTCGGACAAATTAGCTCTTCTTCTCTGCTTGGTTTCTTTTAGGAGAGTGTCTGATATTCAGGCATTTGACTTTCATGCTATTGATTTCACGCCCCAGGGTGTACGTTTTAACATTTCTCGCCGAACTAAAACTAATTCTTTAACAATTACTTACCCTTATTTTTCTGACAGACCGTCGCTCTGCGTTGCTCGTTGTGTCCAACAGTACGTCGTCTCTACATCACCTCTACGTATCCCTACGGGCCCCCTGTTTATCTCATATGTGCGACCACACAAACCAGTGTCTTGTCCCACGATTGCCTGCTGGATTAAATGGCTTTTAGGTTTAGCGGGCATAGACTCATCTTTTGGAGCTCATTCTGTCAGAGGTGCTGCTGCATCCTCCGCCTTTATGGCTGGGGGATCCCTTGCAGACATCCTAAAATGCGCTGACTGGTCTAGAGAGTCTACCTTCCGTACCTTCTATTTTCGACAATCGTCCCATGCTTCCTACTCTTTGGTTTCCACGCTTTAAAACAGCAAATATGAAGCCTCCTGTCTTGCCATAAAATTCGGGATTATTCTAGCTTTAGCGACTGAATAATCTAAATTTTATTAAAGACAGGAGGCAAATATTTTCCCACCCTATTTTTTTCTCCCACCCCAAAATTTTTTCTTTTTATCAAGTCGCATGTATCCTTAACAATTTTCAAGTTTCCTTGTATAGACTTATATGTGTCTGACTGTTTGTTCCCGTTTTACTCTGGTTAGTTGCTTATTAATCTGCCTGGTTCTGACTATTTTAGATTTTGCAATAGTTAAACTCATAATATCCAGGGGGTGGATCTGTGTATATAGATATCTTGCGGACACCCAGTCCAAGTACCCATACTTTCACGATCTTTCTCTGTTTTTTAGTGTGAAGTTTCTCTACATGAACCACGAAGACTACGTTCCCTTGGTCTCTAATCTCGGCTGCGTTTTTTCCGGTTTACATGGTTGATGACTTACTCAAGTTTACACGGTTGACTACACTTATGATCGGCTGCATCAGAAAGAGGATTTGGGAGGAGCCTGAAAGACTGTTATGTTCTAATATGTGTCCTGATTGGTTGATTTTTTTCACTTATGTTTAACTGTTTCTTTGCTGCTGGGAGGTTCAGTAAAGAAGGTTAAAGCAAATATTCGCCTCCTGTCTTTAATAAAATTTAGATTATTCAGTCGCTAAAGTTAGAATAATCCCGAATTCGCAAGCACTGTATTTAACCCTGTAACTTTCCAAGACACCATAAAACCTGTACATGGGGGGTACTGTTTTACTCGGAAGACCTCGCTGAACTCAAATATTAGTGTTTCAAAACAGTAAAATGTATTACAACGATGATGAACGACCATGTAAATGTATTACAACGATGATCATTTTTTGCATTTTTCACACACAAAAGGCACTTATACGGACAATATAATTGTTGTAATACGTTTTACTGTTTTGAAACACTAATATTTGTATTCATCGAAGTCTCCGGAGTATAACAGTACCCCTCATGTACAGGTTTTATGGTGTTTTATGGTGTTTTGGAAAGTTAGAGAGTCAAATATAAGGCTTGTGTTTCAGTTTTTTCATATTGAAATTTGCCAGTTTGGTTATGTTGCCTTTGAGACCGTATGGTAGCCCAGGAATGAGAATCACCCCCATGATGGCATACCATTTGCAATAGTA